CTCTCTCTCTCTCTCTCTCTCTCTCTCTCTCCCTCCCTCCCTCCCTCCCTCCCTCCCTCCCTCCCTCCCTTCCCCTCTCCCTCCTGTCTCTCTCTCTTTCTCTTCTCTCTCTCCTGTTTTGCTGCAACTTCTAAGTTTACATGAATTCCCTGTGTGGGCAGCAATCAGTCCATGCTCCTGTCTCAGGAATCCAGTCCTGCTTGGAGTCCTGCTGCCCTTTTGTTGTCCTTCCTGCAAGGGTGATCGGTTGAGGACTACGTGGTGACAGAACCAGTTTGTAACAGGCTTGTCTTTCAACTTCTCTTCTTTAGGCTCTGCTGGCACAACTCATCTGAATTGCTGAGAGGCGGGAGCGCGAGAGCTCTCTGCGAACTAAGCGAGGGGAAAAAGAAGAGAACTGCAAGCTGCCGCCGCTGTTGCATCTGCTGCAATGAACTGGCTAGATGAAACGAATTGGCAACTTCACATTTCCTTCCTAGTGCTGCTCTCCATTCACACGAAGGGTAAGAAGATAATGCTGTGCAATTTGTCTCTGATAGGGTGCTGAAGCGTCTTGCACTAAAATGTGCAACTTAGGCAGAATCTCTGAACTTCTCGGGTTATTTTTTTTTAAAAAAAGATTTGTGTTCAAGGTTCCACAAGGTAAATGGTTTATAGTGTTGCGCCTTGAAAGGCTTAATTTAGAAATAGATGGGTGTTATAACTTGCCAGGCCTCTCCTTTGTTTTTCTGCCTTTTAAAAATACTGCTTTGTGGTTCTTTGAATAATATTTCAAATGGAATGATGCGATGCTCCAGAAAGCCTTTTCAAAATCAGTAGCAAGTGCTGCTTCATGTTGCCATTTTAAAAGAGCTATTGGAAGGAATTAAAAAGGCAATATTAAGAGATTTGGGCTCGTAGCATTTTTAAGATATAGTAGCTAATTAATGCAAATGACACTTGAGGGGCAGCAAACTTTTTTTTTTCTCTCAGAGGCACTGAAAAATGACTGAAAAGGAAGAAAGATAATTTAATGACCTCTTCTGGGATCAAATGTTTGATGTTCTTCAAAAATCTAGAAAGATACATAAAAGAAGAAAGAAAACAGACTTATTTAAATAAATTATATTAGCAATTAGTACATTTCCATGAAGTCAGTTATATACACAGCTGTGAAACTACTCTAGTCAAAAATAGAACCCTATTAATTTGAACAATATTGTTCAGCTAAACTTAACTGTTGGTTGAGAAATTAATTTTCAAAGCTTTATGTAACTTACAGTGGTATACCTTTTTTTAACCTATTGAAATCAATTAATTTGAACATATCCAGCTCTCACAGTTGTCTGGTAGCAAACCAGTGTGTTAAATGTACCACTTTGGATTATGCTTACCTTACATGCTCTTTGAGGATACATCACCTGTATTTACATACAATCCTGCAATATGGTGACATAGTTTTTACATTTTACTTGTAGCATTATCTGGCTGGTATTCAACATAAGGAGGAATAATTTTCTATATTCACCAAGGAGTTGCTTATGAAAGATAAATCCAGCTTTCATAAAGCTTTTAGCCCATTCTTGGTCCTCTATCCCACCAATGTTTCACCATTTACCTGTGGCCCCCTTTTTACCTTATTTTTCTCCTGTGTTTCCCCCCTTTTCCCCCACTCGGGTGAAAAAGACCAGCATTTACACACTTAATGTAATGTATTACTTGAGTAAAGTGAGCCTTGGGACAGTAACTGCTGTGTATTCTGGCTTCGACAAGATAGTATTTTCAGTATAATACATTTTAATGTTTGGTGGTCCCCATGGTACTTGCCATGCCTCCCATTAGATACTTTTCACTTGTGTCCTTCTTGAAATATCCTTGTTTTCCCATGTTATTGAGGAAGTTCAAGGGTGACTTTTGAAGAATTAAAGACTTAAACAGATTTTGGATCGTTTATATTTCATATTCCCAGATGGCATGCAGCTCTTCCCACCTTAAAATGCAGATTCTTAATAGTTTGGCTGATTCTCAAGGGAAATAGATCTGTACTGAGATACGAACATCTGTAAGGGTGTGGAGAGATTTATGCAGGAAACCTGCAGTGAACTGCTGAAAGACTAATACAGAAAATGTTTCCATCCAAAGGAACTGAATATTGTTTTTTGATTAGAATATTAAAAATGGGAAACATGAGCAAAACTTAAACAAATATGAATACAGAATCCGAACTAAAAATGGTTTCTTTCTTTTCCTTTCCTGAGTTTGTGCACAAAACATATATACAGATCTTACTTTCATCTCTACTTCAATTATTAATATTACCCATGTATTTTACAGGGAAGTAAGGCTATGGAATCCATGTCCATTATTCAGATTCTCCAGAGAGCAGGTCACTTCTACATTTCTCATACGGAGATAACTATTTCCAGGTTTAAAAAAATAAAAGCAGAAAGATTATTCTCTTTGCATATTTAGTCAAATGATATTTTATGCCATGTAGAAAAATGCCACTTGGTACTTACAGAGCCCAAATTATTATTTTCAGAAATATTTGTATATCTCATCCTAGAACGGGAGGTTGTTTAGCATCTCAAAATGGATGATCTTGTTTATCTCCAACAAGATTAAAAATCACTTGGTGTACATGTTGCCCAAGGCCAAACTAAACAAGAAACTAAATGTATATGGATTTTCCTTGAAATCAGATAGAGTGGAAATCTATTGGTGTTTGTCCTTCACAGAATTTTCCCAACTGAAATGGATATCTCTGAGCTTCTGTTGGTTTCATTAGAGAAAATATGCATAGTTGTAACTTTTCCGTAACAAATCAAATAATACTTTAGTTGAGTTTTAATTATATTGGGAAAATAAAGGAAGAGGGAAGAGAGCTTAATAGATTCTAATCCAGTTATGATTCATTCAGACATCTTTCTGCACCTAAAATGTTTGGGAGATCTATTCATATATCTCTAGCATCTTAGTAGTTTAGCAAAAGACTACCATTGTAAAATGAAGAATTTTGTTTCTAAAAGTTCTGTTTCTTTTATTGATAAGTAAAGAATAAGGAAACCATCCATGTATATTGCAGGTAGCTAAAATAAGATATATTTAAATAAAACCAAGATATGGTAGCTCAGTTTCAGTTTATGTCATCATGAGAATTTGCCTTACTCAAAAGTTGCCTTGTTTCTTTATTCCCTTACCATTTTCAGTATAACTTTTGGGGAAAAAAGCTTTGAAAATTCTTGAATCATTTAGAATGTTAATCAATAACAGTTCTAAATTCAGAGAGGAGCTTCATGAATGCAGAAGATTGGGGTTATGCCTGTAAAGCAGATATAGACATAATTTGTAGTTAGCATTTATTTATTTGTATCCCATTTTCATTATTTTTACAAATAACAAAAAGTGGTGAACATATCAAACATACATTCTTTTTATTTTCCTCACAACAACAGCCCTGTAAGGTGGGATTGGGCTGAAAGGAAATGACTGGCCCAAAGTCACCCAGCTGGTTTTCATGGCTAAGGCAGGACTAGAATTCATGATCTTCTGCTTTCTAGCCAGATGCCTTAACCATTAGACAAAACTTGTCTCTCAGGCACACAGCTACGTTTTGCGCGCTCATTAATTCACAAAAATAATTTATGAAGTGGAACTTACAAGTAAATACAATTTAGTGCCCTTAGGCATGAAAAAATCCTAAGTTTCAGGTTATGAAGTCAGAACTGATTTTAAATAGTTGGAAAAGGCTCTGAGAATATAATGATGAGCTTGTGAATAAGCTAATTAGTTCAGTTGGGCTGTTGAAGACATAGTCATATAACTTAACGTGTTTCTTCCTGCTCTCTTTCACCTTAAGTTGAAGAAGTGTTAAGAGACAGGTTACTGCTTCAGTACTTTTTAAGCTACGTGCAAACTTACTTCTGAAGTGAATTTCGGAGTGGGTAATTAGTAGCACTCTCTTTTGGAAATGTGTTGTTGTTGTTCACAGTTGCTGCACTTTATCTCACTTTTTCCTGTTTACCCAGATGCTTTTCTACAAAGCAAAGACAGTTTGGTTTGATGCTAGTTAAAGGGGTCACAGAGTTTACGTGGCACATCTATTTTAGCCATCTTTAAAATCACTCCAAAATAGGTCACATAATGTGACGGATGGCAATTATTTTTAAATATATATACATAAAGAAAACCTGTACACCCAGTAAAATTAAATTAGTATATATTGTAAGATAGAAAAAAAATCTTGGATCAATTAAGATTGTTGATGTTTGGGAATGGTAAGGGTCAAAATGAATTTTGCATGTGACTTGAGGTGTTTTTTCATTCCTTAAAATATTTAAAATAGTGGGTTCTTGTCCCACTCAATTTTAGAAAACATCTGTTATCATGCCATATAAATCTGATTTAGCCCTTTAGCCAAGGGAAGCTGCTCATCTCTGTTCCGGAGCAACCATAAATTATTCTGAGTATCTCCATGACAAGAGTTAAATTGACTTTTAAGATGGTTTTAAAACACACTTTGCTGATTCTCATCTGTTGCATACAATTACATAAACTAATTCAGCTACATAAAGAATTATTTAAGCAAAATATGACTCTTAATTTTGTTCAAGTAAACTCAGTGGACATAAAACAAAAAAAAAAATTGCCTGGATTTGCATTATGAAAATCCTATTCTGGGCTGTGTTTTGGGGTGGGTGATAAGTTAAAAGGATCCAGTATCTTACAGCTGTTCCTTCCCTAAATTTACTATTCCTGAGTATTTCTATCTGGAAATGTAAAAAATAATTCTGCAAACTAAACATACTTTTTATTTAATAACTTGAAAGATAGTTCTCTATATTGTGAGTGTCCAAATTTATTGGAACTGCTAGTGGAAAATTTTGGGAGTTGTAACTCAGATATTACTAAGGCTTACTAAATTTGGGAAGGCAATTTGAAACTCTGGGCTAAGTAGATATAGAGATGTATATCATGAGAAAAAGTCAGGTTAGAACAATATTGAGAGTTCCATGAACTGTGCTTTAGGGATTCAGAATATGCTATATTAAATTAAAATTTCCCGTTTTACATCTAAATCAGGTATCTCTTGTTTAATAGTAGTTAACAAACTGGGATAGTAAAAAATATGTCACAGGTTTACTAATTAATCTGGTTTGTTATCCTGGTATGAACTTAGAGTTCCTTTATTTATCCACAAGGAATCCTTCCTAAATATAAATTGAACTAAAAATCCTTGGCAAAATTCACTTAGCAAAAAATGGGAGAGGCTAAAAAGGAATGTTTGTTTTACTACTCATTGTAGCTCAGTTACTCATGATACTGTAAAGTTTCAAACAGTGGCCAAAATCATGCTAATAATTTGTTGCTTTATGGCAGATTCTTTAATAATACTTCATTTAGTGTAAAATGATTAGATATCAAATTGCAAATGTAGTGGACATCTCATTAGTTGGGATAGACAGGTTCTTCCCAAAAAGGCGTTTTGAACATTTAGAACTAGTAAATTATCTTGGAAAGATAA